CCGCAAATGGCCACACCGTTTTCAAAATTTAGCCATCACGTAGTAATGATTGGAAGAAGGTCATTTCTGGTTGTATGATTAAAACTTTTATCAAAACATCTAATTTAGCAGCCCAAACCTCTTTGTCATTCATTTAAATAAATGAACTGCACATCTTTTAAGCGGAAAGGGCCTCTTTTTGTAAGGATTTAAGTAGTATCGCACACCCTCCTCATGATCAAAACTTATTAGTAAATAAAATATCATTTTCTTTTTTCCCATATAGAAGAACATCTTTATATAGTATGTACACATGTTATGAACAACTTCAAGTCGCCTCAGACGGGATTTGGTGGGGCAAAGGTGTCTGTCCGACTGGACGGCCTATTGGGCGGATGGGGTAGTAGAGGAGGCGGAGGAATAATGAGACCAGGGAACGCTGATGAGGAATTAAAGATGGGTGTTGTAGCAGTTAATTGCTGGAGAAAGGCCCTGAAGGAGTAATCGCTGGAGGCATCCAAAATTGGAGAATTGGCAGCGCCAATAAAATTTTGTATGCTCGGAGAGTTGAATAAGGCTAAGTGCGATGGGTTGAGAGGAGTGGAGGAGGTTGATGGTAGTAAAAGTGAGGAGGGAACAGGAAGTTGTGGATGCAGAAGAGGCTGTGACGCAGAGCTTGAAGGAGGAGGCGGAGGAGGGGGAGGCGGTGGAGGTGGTGGAGGACCAGATGGTTGTAGGACGAAGCTTGTGGAGTCCGGTATACTTCTATTTGGCGAAACACGAGGTGAAGGAGCATCCATTTCAGAGACCACAGCTGACAATGCTGGCAGTGCTGGAGGTCGAGGCATCACTGAGCCTGTCAACGCTGCCGTTCTCGCTGCTATTCGATAGGCTTCAACGGTTTCGTGATGTTGCTAGAAGGAAGACGGGAAGGTGAATACACAGAGGGGAGGAATCGAGCATTACTTAACAAATAATAAAGGAAAATTCCTACCCCAAGATGAGTCTTTAAGTTTCCTTTGGTTGAGAATCGTTTTGCGCAAATTTTACACACGAATGGTCTCTCTTCTGTAAGGAAACAAGGAAAAGAGTGGTGTGAATTATCAACAGCCCAACTACAAATGGAGGATGGCGGGACTGGCGACGAAGCCTCTGCTTACCTGTGTGGACCCGATAATGCATTGTCAGGGCACTGCGACAGCTAAGCACTTTATGACAGACGCCACACTGATTTGGCACCATATTTCGTTGATATCGTTCAGCCAATTGCCGCCAGAGGACATTTTGCGTTTCATCAACTCGCATAAATTGCTCCAAGTAGTCTTCACTAGGACGACTTCGTAAATGACTGGTTGGTGATGAGGCAGTAGTGAAGCCTTCCGCGGGATTAGAGTCCGCACACTCCGAGGGCAGAGGTCGAGAAAACAGTCGATTGCCTAATGGACGAATCCAATCCACCAGGGGGTTGGAGGAGGATGAAGACGAAGCCATATTGCTCATTGGAGAGGGTGGTTTTATGGAAAGATCCAAGGCTTCCACGGGAGGTGAAGTTGACGAAAAATTGCTCTTCACTTGACAGACAGACGAAGGCTTAATTTCTGGTCCAGATTTCAAAAGAATGGTAGACTTGAGGGGACTATCACTAGTTCGTCTTGGAGCTTCAGGACTGGTACATTCGTAAGAAGACCTCATACACTCCTCTCCGTGAGTTTTGCGCTCCAAGGCTAAAAGTGGCATAGAAGGAGTTGTGAGGAGAGAGAGACGGTGAGAGCCAACATTTGTTGCAAAACAACCTTCTTATTAGCATA